AGCGAGCATAGCCCCCGGGTCTGATGCTGCAATGGCTGGAGTAGTTGGCTGAGCCACAGGTGCAGGAGGTTTTGCAGCTGTAGGAATGCTAACTAATTGTTCCTTAATGAATTCCTTCAACCTGTTTACACATGTAGTTACATTATGTCTCCATGTGTACACACTTGTCCTTTGGTTAAAATGACCTTCTGGCAGGGGTTTTTTCAAATCTCAATTAAGGTTATATACTTGAATGATCCCTTATAGATAAGAACGCCTATAAACTTGTCAGAAAGTTATGGATTAAAAACACTTGTCGGGAGTTCATTAGCTAAATAACCCTTATTTTTTCTCGTATTGAAATGAAATCCAAAACTGAAAACATACTCAAACGTGTCATGCGGAGCTGTGTTCTGGCAGCTGGATCGGTTTCAATTCTTACCTGCAAAAGAGAAGAGTCATAGAGTTTAAAGCCAATACTTGATTACAACAAAAAGCTTTACTTTGTCAAAAGGTAATAACAGATGGTGATGCCTAGAGCAACAACTATGATGTCGAGAGGAGAAAGAAAGGTGAGGCAATTGAACCGATGATCTCCGCGGGACCAAACACCACCAAGCTTTATGCTTGACAATTATATAATAACAAATACTCCTTTTTTTCAGTTGCCTATATTGACTATAATGTCAAAGAAACTACTTACTAATTTAAGATTCATATGAATAAAACAAGTGCTAAGTACCAAAAATCGTTGTTAAAACTGTAGAAGAACAAAAAAGAACAATAACTTTGTTAAATACAAGTTTGACATTCGAAATTAAAAAGACTGCAATTAATACAGAAAAGGGGGTCTAGGTATTGTATCCTCAAAAATAGTCAATCCAATATAAATTTCTTCTTCTCAATTGCAAGCAAAGAAAAGCGTAAAACCATATTTATAAAGAAAGCCAATCGGGACTTAAAATTTAGACATGATAAGGTGTACGTATTCTCTTCTTTAAGTTTATGGGGATGGGGTGATTTGAGTTCACAGAAGTGAAGTTGAAGTGTGACTATCTGATATATGGCATAAGCATTGGTCTTTGCATCAGTGATTATACCATCCATGAAAAAGAATTAGCTAAAATTGTATAAATACTTACCAGGCATAACATGGTTCGTGTACTTTCAGAATAGAAGGTTGTGCTTGCAACTAAATTACTTGCATTTGGATCCTGAAAAAAATGCAAAATTGAAGCAAGGAACACAGAGTGTGTCTATTTTACCAATGCTAAAGGAATATTATCTTCATAATATTATAAAGAACTTACCAGTCTAGGACAACCATCAACCTCAAACTGTTGAACAAATTTGCCATCTCTCCCGATGACATCGGTCTCACACCCCTAACCTGTTCAATTTTATGATAAAAAAAATCACATAATATCCTAAAATTGATGTAATGGGGATGGAAGAATACGTGCTCTAAAACTATAGCAAAATGGAATTTAAAGCACCATTGGGAATTAAAGTATTAGCATACAATGTCATGCCTCCACTAACTTTCCCGCCCATGCAACATGTGCATTTGCACCCCCATTATGGTTCTTGTTAGTTAACGGGATTCCAAACCCCTCTGTTTTTGCACTCATAGTTATTTTTTGCACATAGCATCTTTAATTTACAGTACAGTAGTAAGTCTTATGGTGGTACTAAAGAAACCCATGCTTGTTAGAACGTAGCCTAACAGCTGACACAACCAAAATATATTCTATTTACACATGCAAAAGGCACGAACCACTTCTTGAAGTTTCAAAGGTGGTCCAGTTAGCAATCTCCACTGGGGGAAAAATTCCTCAGCAGATACTTGAATTGAACTGATTATGAAGAGCATTTGGTCCCTAATTTGCATTTATTCGAACCAAACATCAAAAACAACAAACAGTGTATAAATCCGTTCAATCCCCCAAATTAAATCCAGTCTTGATAAGAGAAAATAAAGAACATTAAACAAATTAAATGGATTGGTTTAAACAAGCACACAGATAAACTGAAGATGCTGCAAAGTTTGCATATGTGGATGCCATGAATCAAAGATCAACTGTTAATTCCGAACAAAACAGTGTATGTCTGGATAATACCACCAGAAAGACATGTGTATATATGCCCTATACACATTTAGAACATCTTGAAGCTCAGAACTTATATTACATGTAGGGAAGACTTACTAAGCAGCTTCAGTCACCCAAAATCCTCAGAAATCAAATAAATGAAAATAAACGAAAATATTATAAACATCTTACCCGGAGAAAGCCAACGATTGAGAAAATGGTAAGATTGGTGTTCGATTTACACCAAACCGTTGTATTGCTTCAAGTCCTCAAACCCAAAACAAAGGGGAAAAAATTAAACCCTAAAACCCAAAGCAACCTTGAATAAAATCAAGAAGCAATTCCCAACATTTAAGAATCGTACCAGGGGCGAAGAATGAAGAGATGCAGAGACAGAGCGAGAGATGCAAAGCGAGAGCGAGAGATGCAGGGCGATTGAGGGAGAACTTTGAAGAGAACCAGAGGTTGGGCGATGGAGCGAATCATTTATAAGTCGCCTGAGGTAGAGAGAACCGGCGGTTGGGCATGCGATAGAGAGCATGCTATAGAGAGAACCAGACTTTGGGCAGAGTTGTGTTGGGAAGAGGAGAGCGTGCGATAATGGTTTAGGGAGAAGAGTCGTGGAGAGCATGCGAGGAGAGCGTGCGATAGTGGAGAGCATTAAAGGGTGGTACTGTAATGATTATGCATAAAGAAGTTGTACATTTTTAAGACTTTAAGACTTTAAGCATGAAAAGGTTGTACTTTATGCATTTTAAGTTGTATTTAAGACTTTTATGAAATCTCCTTTATAATGTAGTATAAATATATATATATATACATATATATACATACATACATATATATATATATATATATAGAGAGAGAGAGAGAGAGGAGCGATCAAATGAAAATCACTCCAATTTGTAAAAACCGTAAAACCTATTCTCATCCATCGTTAATCTTATGAAATTTTTTCATGAAATTGTTAATCTTGTCAAATTGTTTCATATAATACTTTTTTTGATGAATTTGT